TTGTTTGAATGGTAGAGAGAGTCATGATTGATAGCTATTACTATGGCGTTAACATGTTTTGAATAAAATATGTTGCACAAAGGGAGATTTTTGAGATTAGATATTTTGTATCGTGAACGTCGGGAAATGACAACAGTAATAAAACGGAAACGGGTAAGGCTAGATTTTTGGTGCACGCGACGAATCATATCAATGAATGTTGCAGATCTCAGAGCACGCAATAACCAGGGGTATGTTTCTATTTTGGGAAATAGTCATTCTTGGCATTTTGAGGGAGACGGGACGACCATCTATTTGATCTGATTAAGCAATCACTTCACAATTTCACCTGTAAACTCCATACAAATTGTTTGACAAAGAGTCTTTAATAACTTGAGCGACTCTTTTTCAATTGAGTTTTGCTTCGTTAGATAAGACTAGATATAGTCAAGTATTCGAAACAGTATAACGTGGTTGTGTCCTCCTGATAAGGTCAGCTGGAATAATTTTCGGTCATGATAGTGAAAACCTTCCTCAGTGTAAGCTCAGTCCTTGATCAATAGCACTAATGGGCCTTGGCTAGTTAGCACATGCCGATCTTCATGCAAGTCATTGGCCTCACAGAAGAATACATACCATGTCTGTATTTCATGTCAAGTCGAATAGTCATTCTTTTCGATCGACAAAAGAATGAACAAAATGCTTCGAAGCTTTGGATTTATCGTTTATGTGAGTGATCTTGGAGATCGATCAATTTTGAGTCTATACAGAGTCTGGTAATCACGTATCCAACTATTCATTTTACTGAAATATCTCTACAAACAATGGACTAGGATATAAAGACAACATTCTCCATGCTTATTCCAACTGACATCGCTTATTACATAACGCTACTGGATGTAAGCGATTTATTGACGACTGTACTCCTTTTGGGAGAATTCCTTCTACGATAGACGAACCCCGCAAATGAGTCTCAAAATTCTGAAAAGACTTCAAGCTATTCGTTTGAACCAAGCCCTAAGGTGGTTAGTCATCTCATGTGCTAACGTTCTTGACCATAAAATAATCTCAATACTTCTTAGATCATGAATTCAAAACTATTTGAATTATTGATGTCCATCTGTTATCGAGCGATCTCTTCTTCTAGGTGAATTTGTCAGTCATGGAATCATTTTTTATGAAAAAAAAAAGGTGAATATGATAAATATGTAAATGGAGTAAGCGTATGGGTTGGGAAAATGTTGAAAGGCTGCTATTGACTAGGAACGATTTCTTGGATGATCTCGGGCGTAGGCCTGCTCCCAGAAAGCTTTTATGGTTGAAATGCATGATTGAAATTTAGAAGAATGTTGATAGAAATGTACATAGAGAAAGGAATTTGCAGCTTGAAAAAACGATATTCGCCAAGGAAGATCACCCGTCGATTTATGAATGTAAGATATAAATAACAATAGTAAGAAAAGCCTTAAGTTACATTATCGTTTTCGTATCGTTGCAATGCAAGAAAGGGATAATGCTATTGGGATGAGTCTTTGGGATGGCGGACTTTGTTGAGCGAATGAGTAGTTATTGTATAAATCTATTGAGAGAAGGAATGAATTTGGCAAAACTCACTATACTCAGGTTCATTTCTAGGTCCAATTGCACGTGAGAGGTCTCAAATACATAAAGACAAGCATCAATCGAGCATATTCTAGGTATTGTGACTACGAAGGTGAATGCTGGGTTATAGAAAGATCAATCCTATGATTTGGAGCATTCAACATTTGACAATACACATCGTAATCTCGCTAGAATAGGCCATATTCCCATACCAGAAAAATATTATAGAGATTTAGAAGAGAAGAAAAGTGAGAAATTTCGAGAAGGTGAAGAGTCAACTAGCGGGATCAATCGCTCTTGCAAAAGGCTAACCTCATTCTAATCAGTAAAGGAAGCTTCACGAAGATTACTGGTCAATATTTAACGAGACTAAGGGGGGATTTCCAGATCACCAAGCTAGCAATAGTGCAGACCGAAGTCTATAAATACCTTCATTGCCCCCCCCCCCCGCCAAATTCTTTTCCTTCGGATCCCAGAATAGAAGAGGAGAAGGAGGAGAAGGAGGAGAAGGAGATGAGAATGAAGATGAAAGACGACACTCCTAATGGTCGACCGAATATCTGGGTTGCAGGGCAGCAGGTAGTCGTACTTGTGCAGGTCAAATACAATCTGGTGGAGGACGACACGAAGAGCGACGAAACAAATTACAAACTAACGAGCGATCGACCGACCATCTGGGTTGCAGGGCAGCAAGTATTCGTACTTGTGCAGGTCAAATGCAACTTGGTGGAGGACGATACGATGAAGAGTGAACTATCGAAAGACGAGCGAACGATCAATCGAACTGGATGTGGGGACCGTAGGCTATCGCCGGGGGATTGACACCCCCTGGCAAGTTTTATGAATGCCGGCTTTTAATAGCGGATGATGAAACTTGGAACTCCCTCAGTATTACACTGTCTCTGAGGCGGGTCCCATTGTATTCTTGGGCTTGGCCTGGGATATAAAGAGGCTATATTTGAAAATCTTGATCTAATTTTTTTTTATCTCGAGTTATATTCTTGGTGAAGTGTGTTTGTAGTAGGATTCGTGTCGATTCGAATAATTTCTAATCGCTTAGATCTCGCCTAAGGAATGATCATCATGTACTAGATCTATCCTATCACATCTTATTCTCTCTTTAATATTGAGCGATGTCATTTTAATAATCATTGACGTTTGGATTTGTAGTGTCCGCTCTGCATCCCCACCGAACAACCTGATCAATTTGACTTCCCAGTGGAATAATAGAGTCGAAAATTGATAGATTCGAGATTTAGATTAGTCACGACTCTCTTTAAAATGCGATTCTTGATTCGCAGAGGTAGAATAGAAGACCACCAGTGCTCTTCGCGTGGCTATATCTTATGTGATCACAGATACATTATATACTTGTTTGGTAATGACGAGAAGTGATTTTTTCGGGTTCATATCTGTCTTTTTCATCTGTTCCCGGGACGTCAGTTCCCAAATCTATTGACAAATGCGTGTTTCGGCTATCACGGGTACAACTTCGCTCTCCGTGTGACCCCGAAAAGCTGTTCTTATCGAAGATGCTGTCTGACAGCAATTAGATTGAACTGAAAAAAAGCTTTGATGGGTAACGTAGATCGTTAACGTTACGCTACATTAGGGGGTTCTCGCGTAAATATTCTGGCTAGATTGGAACACCGGATTTAAGAAAGCGCGATAGAATGAGCGTGTTGAAACATTCCATTACTAGCCTGAACAGGCAGGTATTAGGGTCTCTCTACTGAATACCTTTGTGAGAGAATATCTCTGCTTTCCGATATCTGTCAATGATAAAAACTCAGCGATTGGGCCAACAATGATGGGGCTGGTGAGCGGAAGAACCACAGACTAGATTACTAGAGCCACAACATCATCCCTCACCAACAGTTATGTGATTTTTCATCCCTTTCTCTGTCGGTTCTCATCTTCCCTATTCGAATAAACACAAAAAGTCGGACATTGGATAGAAACTTACACGGCGTCCGAAAGGCAAAGAACGACATACCTGTTTGCCCGGCGCCTTGAAAACCCAATTGAACCGGGGTACATATCATTAGTTGTGTCTTTGGTTGAAAGCAGACATTCCAGATACCATCGCCACTGAGATGAAGGCACTAGTCCAGATGCTTTTAGTGCACTACTAAAATGATGAGTACACCTTGAGACTCCATCACTTCCACGAACTGCACTCGCAATAACTTCATGTTATCAAATTTGTATGATTGGATTCGAGAGCTTATTTCTTCTTGTCAATTCATGAAGTTTTCTAATTCAGAGAAAAATGTCTACTTCTCAAGTAAGATGGGAGGAGTACTGTGGTTCTACACACTGAAATAGTTACATTTTAGGGTACCCTAGCTTCATAAAAAGTCTTCCGAATCAAGGAGTAACTTCGATTGTCCTGTATTCGACAAAGCCGCGATTCCAGACAAATTTATTTCATCATTTCCAAGCAGTAGGAAGGGTGTTATCCATCCTACAGTAATATAGTCCGTACAGCTGCTATTTAGAAAAAGTTATGACGCCGTCTTGATATAAAATCTACCCATCTTCGCCCGTTGTTTCTCCGGCATTCGTGGAAAAAGTCAAAATTCGACAATTGCATATGGTAAATCGCTAGTCATTCAATCTAACATTCCCACTCCATTTTTCGGTCTATTTGCAACATGCCTAGTATGTTGCATTTAGTCTTTTTGTACTGAAATTTTCATAGACATTTGTAAACAGAGATAACCAGGAGGTAGAAGCCCTTCAAAATATTTATTCATTATCGGGGCTATAGCTGAAGCGATGAAAAGGAAGAAAGAGACAACTACAACAGCAGATGGAGAGGTACGATGAGAGTGTGTTCAATTCACGGAAGCTTTTTGAAAGTACTCCGACGATTGTAGTATCTATCATTCCCATGAAAGATGATTTCTGTGATTCCAAAATAGGAGCATGGTGAAGAAAATGTCACTGTTGCTTTACAAAGGTGCAAAAAGATCTGTACCTAGACTCAATAGATAAAGCAGCTCAAGATTCCACAAACGGAGGGGGATTCTCAGAACGCTAGTTCTGATTTGGATAGAAAATATTCAGCGGAAATAGTGACATGTACTGTGATTTTTGACAGAATAGCCGGAGATGAAAGTTTTGTATACGTCGGTAATGATTTTTATGGGCATAGAATTTAGGTTCGCGACACAGGGGTGTGGACGCCGAAGCGCGTTTTGGCGCTGCTTACACAATTGATTTCACATCATTACCAATCCATCTCCATCCCGCATTGTATTCCTCGTAATTAGACCAGTTCATACACAACAGACCCTGAACACACCATATATAATTTTTGCTCTACACCCTCCTGCTACGTACTAACATCTGTCGAGTCTAACTTTAAATATCCTGTTGATCTGCTACTTTCTAGGCATTTCTTCCTGCACCTCATGCGCCTCATTCATCGAGCTACAACTTTACTAAACGTCTGCCGCCAATATAGCAACATATTTCAGCTTACCTGCCCGGCTTCAATCTCTTCAGTATCAAGCATGTCGACTTCAAGCTCCACTCCTCTTGCTCCGGTAATATCCGTATGCCATGGTGGTGGTCCCATGCCAGTTATGAACGACCCAGGTCATGCCGAACTCATAAAGTCCATGAGCACTCGTGTTCCAGAAATACTAGGCATTTCACCCAACTCCTCGACTTCGAATCCCCCCAAGGCTATTGTATTAGTTACTGCGCATTGGACCGAGACACGTCCTCATATAAGCAGCGCTCAGCACCACGATTTGTATTATGATTACTCTGGATTTCCATCGGAAACATATAAATTAAAGTACCCTGCACCCGGAAGTCCAGAAGTAGCGAAGGAGGTTTTCGAGCTATTGGATGGAGCAGGATTAAAACCTGTGTTGGATGAGAAGAGAGGTTTGATTACTGAATGCCATCTTTTTGATTCATTTTACTGACCACCAATCTCCAAAAAGGCTGGGACCACGGCGTATTTATTCCCCTCCTCCTCATTGCACCAAAAGCGCAGATCCCCATTGTGCAAGTTTCCGTTTTACGGTCGAATTCTCCTGCCCAACATTATGCTATGGGCCAGGCTTTGGCACCTTTGCGCTCTCGCGGAATCGCCATTCTTGGTAGTGGCATGCCGTCATTTCATAACCTTCGTCTCATGTTCTCTGGTGTCATGAATACTCCCGCATACAAAGCACGTAATGAAGAATGGTCATATCGGTTGACAGAAACATTGAAAATAGCCGATGCTGAAGAACGCGGTAAAAAGCTAGAAGATTGGAGGCAATGGACCGGTGCTGAGGATGCGCATCCTGAGAAGGGACAAGAACATTTCCTGCCATTGATTGTATGCGCGGGCGCTGGAGGTAATGAACCAGGAAAAGGATGGGCAGATCAAGCTATGGGTTCGCCGCAATGGACATATTATTGGGATTAAGGGTACCTGTCATGTAGCACTCTTGTGAACATGACAGGAAATTGAGGCGTGAGGCGATAACTTTTACCCTGGGGATAATTCAGCAGATTAATAGGATGAAAGACGCATGACATTTGCATATTATAATTTTCAAGACGACTTTGCCGACCTAAACTTTATACAAGAGCATATATTATTTGTGGGGAACATCACAAACTGGTATATCACACTGGTCACGGTCGCATCAGACTATTATCTCTTTAGGTATATAATCCGTTTCTTCTACATGGAGCGTTCAATTCTACGCCAACGTCTGAACCAAATCAACTCAGTATGCCATATCTTACCTGCAAGTTAGACCTTCACGAAGACCCGCACTTTGCGCCGCATGATATTGGCACCCGGCGTCGTGCATATTCTATGCTGGTGGGTCTCACAGGACTACAAGAGCTTACCATACGCCTACTCGGTGGTCTTGATGGTTAGACAGAGCCGTATGAAGAAATGACTGGAGCACTCATGGATGGAAATCAAGGTAGCGGAAAGATTCGCTCTCTGGTTGTCTTGTTCTGAAATAGGCTGTGAGAACTTTGTGGGAGATGAAAGATTTGCTTTCAGAGTGTTTTCGAAGCCGTGTTTATCGCTTCCTTCTCCATATCCAGAAATGGTAAATGGCGAGAAACTTAATGTAGTGCTATGAGTATTTCAGGCACAAGGATGAATATCAACCAAACCATTGGGTCAGATGTATATAGACAATTGAGAGAAAATGACGACATTGTTGCCTTTGGAAGATTGGGGAACAGTATTACCATACCATATCATGGATTAAGATCTTTTGTGTAAATAATCGACAGCGTTATCAGAGTATGATGTTGAATGATCTTACAAGTCATCTTTTATACTCCAAAACTTTCCCTTCGCCTTGCCTTTCAGTCTTGCTGTCATGATTTGTGAGAATCAAATGGCAGGAAAATTAATGTGTCTAACATCAGCTAGCTCGGTAATTCGCCCCGGAATTGCCATGCCTCACAACATCATTTCGATCCAGTTGACTCAACCCCCTTATCGAAACATCTCTATGCTATCTATGCGCATATAGTCCCAGGTATCTTTACCACACTCCCCCAAACAACCATCCTAACTATATCGATCCTACTTCTCCTATGATCAAGAAACCACCCAACCCAACCCGTACTTCCTCATCCACTTTCAACTCTGTAGCACTCCAAGCCCTCATCAGGAACCCCCGAGACGAAGATCTCCTTTTCCCCTAATTACTCCAGAAGAGTAAGCTCTCTAAGCGGTCGACTATTCCTCCACTTCGGCGCTACAGCAATCACCGTTATATCGCGTCGCATCCCACCGTAGCAGACATACCATCTCGAAGACAGGTCCAGCGGAATCCAAACGTTTCACACAAAGAATTTATATTCCCGAATCCGGCTGTGGGGAAAAATTTCGCATAACAAACAATATTCACCGCTTGCATTTTTATGGACTGCATCAGCCATACTCTCCTCCAAATTTCTCGCGTTGGAGAGAGATATTACGTAGCTAGCTGTGTTGGCCAATCTTGATAATCCTGCGGTGATCTTGAGAATCGATATGCATATTCGAAAGCCAGAGCATGGCCTTTACCATGCTATGTATGCTATGCCATTTAAATTATGCATCTCAAAGATGAAGATTTATATCAAATCATTTGTTCAGATCTCCCTTTCTACTCCATCATTCTCTCGAGTAGTATCGTATGAACGGTCGAACGATGACACAAATATCAATATCAATATCGACATATTTCCCAACTTCCGCACAACGCACTTGCGTTCATCATCGTATTTTCCTTTACACATCCCCCAAATAGAAGCAAAGAACAGCTGAATTTCTCAATTTCATATCATGTCGTATCATTCATCTAATCTATTCTAATCTAAACCATTCTATGTTCGTATCAGTAATGGTATGATCAGTTTGTCTGCATCCACCCTCATCTGCTGTTTTGCCCCCGTTACTTGCAATATCTTAGCACTTCGATCTATCGTAAATCCACTGCTACCCGAGCCCTTTGCCTCCACAATTATTACTATATCCTCAAATACCCATCTAAGCACCGTAAACCTTGAATCTCTCCTCGAGAGGTTGAAAGGTCTTCTCTCCAGCTCCGGCAACAGGAGTACCGAAAACGAGTTGAGCGTTGAGCTCCCAGTCAGCTGGGATGTTCCATCTAGAAGATTCGATGTTAGTTATGTATTCGTTTCCATCCCTCTTCATAGCATCTTCATCTTCATCTTCATCTTCATCTTCCCCAACCCCACCCTCACATCCCCACTTCTCCAGAGGAAAATAAGAAATAAAAGAAAAAACTTACTCAGAAGCAACCTTAGCATCAATCAATGGAGAATAATGTTGCAAGTTTGCGCCCAATCCCTCAGCTTCCAAAGCAACCCAGATGGCATATTGGGTCATGGCATCACTCTGACTAGCCCACATGGGGAACTTGTCTGCGTAGGAAGCGTATGCGGATTGCATACCGGAGACCACTTTTCTATCTTCGAAGAAAAGGACCTATTGATGTTTCCATTAGTTTACTTCCCCGAAACCAATATTACAGAACCAAAGATTCAATATCAAACAATAGAACAATAAAACGGAAAGCAAAAAAAATAAAAATCTTACGGTTCCATAACCCGCTCTAAATCCATCAATTTTCTTAGCGGTTCCCTCAAATTGAGCTTCAGGAACAACCCCCTTCAAAACCTCCTTGGTAATATCCCAAAGCTTCTCATGCTCACCCTTGAGCAACAAAACCACTCTCGTGCTTTGCGAGTTGAACGAGGAAGGAACGTGCAAAACGGCTTGCTCGACAATCTCCTGGATCTTGCTATCGGGAATGGTGGATTTGTTGCTGAGAGCGTAGATGGTACGACGGGCCTTGAGGAGATCGATGAATTGGGTTGATGGAGACATGATTGGTGGTTTGTGTGGTGAGGTTTGAGAATTGAGTGTATATACGTTGTATGGATGTATGTTGTGTGCGTGAAAATCGAGAATGTGTTGCGAGATACAAAGCTGCAAGATGTGAATAGAGAAAGAGAAAATTGAGAATCTCCAAAAGGGTGAACATCAAGCCCTCTTATACCTACAACAATCGACCCAAACCGACGTTGTATGCAAAAGTTAAAACACGGCCCGCTCTTAGCCCCGCTCTCTTAAGAGAGACACATTGACAGGACAGGACAGAGCACTATTCAACCCCGTTCGCGATTCCCAATCTCATGTCGCCATTGCAAATCCAACATCCCATCCCATCCCATCCCATCCCATCCAGACCCAACATCCAAAATCCATCCAATCACCCCCCCAAAAAGTAAAGATTTCTAATACCCATGTTTTACTTTCCAATCCTTACCTAACCTTACTAATACCAACCCCGTATCAAATCAAGCAATCAATTAATCAAATGATTCACCTCCCTCATACTTTTTGCTTCTTCCACTGACACAGTAAACACGTACCAACCTACCTAGCATGCCTATTATTCTCAAATTATATATTTTATTAAAAATAAAGATTTTATAAATATATAAATAAAATTTTTAATTTTCAATAATTCATTAAAAGCTAAACTCGATCGGCCTGCTTCCCCCCTTCCTCTCGGCTCCCCTCCCCATCAAGATATCGTGATATCTAAGCTCTCACCAAGCTTCGACCCTCCCGGCTCCACAAATTGGTCAAGATTTCTAAGGATTCCATAATTGATGGACCGCTGACATATTCATTACATATAGAGTTGGTGTGGGGCGGATCTGAGTGCGGTGCGCTTCTTTCTGCTATTGGTGGAATTGTTGCGGATAAGCGGGGTATTGATTGCGGATCTGTACGGGCGCATGGTTTCGATGAATGAAGTTCAATGAACCTGGTGAACGGAAAATATTTGAGACAATTGTGTAAACTCACGATTCATCAAACTCGAAGAATACGATTATGATTTTTAAATATTTTCATTTATGAGCTATCTGTATGGCACAGTATTCCACACGGTCATTCGGACAGAAGTATCTACTCGCTGTCTTGCATTCACTATCCCATCATATAGCTCCCATCAATGTAATCCCAATTGCTTGGATTGTTCTCTTGCTGTTGTTCTCATATCCCATTTCGCCAGTCTGAACACCGTTCAACGCCCTATTGACAACCAAAATTTACCCAGTCAATATCCTATATGCAAAATGTGTAGCCAAAGAACCCCGCCATCCATTGCATAAAAGAAAGACAGCTCTCCACCCATTGAACATGCGTATAATACAGTCCAAATATGGCAAACGATATCGAAAATCCACTACGTATTTACAATCCTTGTTTCATTCGCATCGTAATCCCATCTTTGGTATTTGAAAACCCGAGACTCAAGGCAGGAAGGAAAGAACAATAAAGTGAAATTAATCACCAAGTCTCGGCAATGTATTGCCCAGCTTCATTCTTCAACTTCCAGAAGTTCTTTGCTTCTTCCCTATCCAAATTGCCCTTCTCCATGGCAACATCTACAAGGGCTTCTTCGACACCTTCACCCATCCCTTTACTGCTTCCACAAACGAAAACTCGACCATCCAAAGCATTGATGATGAACCAGACCAAATCTGCTTGATGTCTAACTTCATCTTGAACATATTTGCCCTTTTGCTTACTACCAGGTCTTCGACTCTGAACAACTTTCTTGACTTCTGATTCATGAACACCCCATTCACCAGAATACAATTCATCCAGAAGAGAATCTCTGACTCCTTGGAGAACCCAAACTTTGTTGGCGCAATTAGCGTTCTTAAGACGACGTTGAACAAAGCCCCGGAAAGGTGCAACTCCTACACCTGCACCAATCAAAAGCATTGGTCCATCTGAGACAAATTCTCTAGCCAAAGGATTTGCCATTAATCCCTTGAACATTGGGATTCGGATGTTGACCTTTTCCCCTCTCTTTTCAGCTTCAATGAATTTTCTTGCTTGTCGCTCAAAGAATCCTGATCCCAGACCAATTCGATTTCCACCCTTCCAGTGATTGGTTTCGTGGACAGTGACTGCAATTTCGATGAGTCGGCTACATCCTTCAACTGGTACACAATTCTCTTGAGGATCATTGGACATTGAGTAGAATCGAGGTCTCAATGTTTCGAGTTCCGAGAGAAGGTGATCGAGAGGTGGTTTACTGGAAGGGAATGCGTGAAGAAGTTGAGGGATGGTGATATGTGGACCAGTTCTGAAATCGCAGAATGTACCTTGTCCTTCTCCAGAACACAAATATAACAAAATCTTCTTCTCTTCTGGATCGGTAGCATATTCGGCAAGGATTCGTAGAATCTTTTTGTTGGGAGGATATGATTGAATATCAGAACACCAAGTCAATAAATCGCGTCTGGTTGTGATTAATTCTCTTGGCTTATCGTCTCCCCAAATTGTAGGCCATCTTCCAGAATGTGTCTTCAATAGAATCTTTCGGTCACGAAGATGTCTTGGAATCGATAACAAATCCATCATTTCTTCCACCATTGATTCTTCATTTGGTGCCATAACACCAATTGCACCACCGACCTTGAAATCAACGCCACCTTCCTCAGGATAATCGGTCACATCCAAATCGAAGTGATATGTTCTCTTTTCAGCACCAGGCTTAGTCAATTCCCTAGCATTGAAAATTCTTGCGGAATAGACTTCGTAAGGTGGATGTGGCTGAACGAATGAGGGTGGTTGAACTTTGGTATCGACATCTAATTTGGCATGATGTGGTGTGAAGTCAATTGAATCATTTTGCATATCAATTCCTGAATCCTTGTGGGAGATAACCTTTTGAATGTCTGCCGCATCAGCGACGTCCATAGGAGGCTCAACG